AAAGCGAAGAACCCTTACATATTTTTGCAAAACGTATAAATTAATAATTAATATTGAAATGAAACAAGAACATTTGTTTAAGTCTCTTATTCGTATTCGAAATGATGGTGCGTGGAATAATTGTGACCGCTGAGTTATTGCAGAGAAAAGCGAGAGAAAACGCGTGAGAGACACAAAGATTTAGAATATAGTATTGGTAAAATAATCAGAATGTCGACCCTTGCATTTATGCTAATTGTACAAGTCTGAGAACGGACAATGCACCGAGTATAAATTCGATTGCATAATAGTCTTCGATTGATTCAAATGTTCTCGGCCAATGTACGTACCCGTTTCGGAGTTTTAACACGTTCTGACGCATACATCTGGCTATTTGTTCTTTAAGAGCTTGTATAATGCTGAACGACACATTAAATCACACGGTACAAACAACAAGCCTTCAATCCTTGATTGCGGAAGGAATTATAAAATCGTTAGCTGAATAGTCGAAGAGTTATAATTTATAACTCTTTATAAAGCTCTCGTTTTCATAAACTCGTTATAAACACGCGCGATGCTCTTTGATGTCTGATTGATTTATTATTAATACAAATACACATGATGATAATAGGGATAAAACTCATTACAATCAGTTTAATTTTGATAAATGCAGATTTTATCTCACAATGTATGTGACAATAGAAGTATGACAAGACAGGAATCGCTGCATATATAGAAAATTAAATTAATTATATCATAATATTATCAAAATTATATCATAATAAAATTATATCAGTTTCAAGCTTTGTATATTAGAAATAGAATGTTTATATATGTATAAATATATATATGAAGATATATATGTATTATAAAAATACTAGAACGTTAGGGAATACGATTTTATAATGGGCGCAACAATAATAATGTTTTAATAATATGTTATAAAATGCTACTTTAATATATGTAAGGAAATAATTCTCACGAAAATGTTATTCTACGCTTGAATGAAATGAGGACTTTTATAGCATTCGCTATGTGCCAACTGAAAGGCAAGCCGTGCAAATTGATTAAATATGTGCTGCATCGTCCAGCCCATTAGCGTCAGTCGATATAAATCCATGCTGGTAATCTACGATCTGCTTTGAACGCGATTTCCGCCTTAGTCCCGCGGAAACTGGTTAAAAGAAAGCCGCGGAGAATGGCTTAAAAGTATGCGCGAATTTACATTGGGTATTAAAGGTAAATTCCATTCATGCGAATAGGTATAATCTAAAACGGCGGTTGAGTATATCGCAACAGAGGATGTCGTTACGCAAGGTTCGGCACAGGGAAAACTCATGTTTTGTAAATTTTTTTTTGTGTTACGCGGTAAGAGAAGCGCTTGAGCTTATGACGTTTTATAACGGAGTCTGATGATTTTTTCGTATAAACACGACCTTGTTTGAATCTTAAATTTTTGACTTCATTTATTTGGAAACGCGTTGAAATTAATTTTTACACAATGTTAAATAAATTAAAAGTATATATTAAATGTTTAAAAAACTTTTGTTTTTATAATTTATAATATATAGTGTGATGTTCGCGATATATTTATCAATACATTTGCATTTTGAAATATACCAAAAAAAAATTGAGAATTATTATATAATAGAATCTTATGAAAAATTTCTGCATTATTTTATAATAATTTTATTTAAAAAAGGATTTTCTTTACATTCGCCAAAAAATATGCAATCGAAAGAAATATGATAACGTATATAATATATATAAAACCTTCAGCGATATTATATATGGTAGATTCATAAATCGATCAATTGATCGGTTCTACAAATCGATGTCAATTGCCAATATATAAATTACGACAGTTAAAAACTGAACTATGGTTCCGTTAACTATAGCAACGGTAATTCAATTTACGTGCCGATTTCATGGTTCTCTTAGATAGTTAAAATCTATCAATACGTTTCCTTTTCATCGACAGTGTACTACACACTACACGAAGTCTAAACTTTGCTTATTATTAGATTTGCCGCAATTTATTTTGAAGCGTAGTTAAGAATCGATTTTACGATGAGAAAACGCAATAAATAATCATAAATAAACCGTTTTTTCGTATTATATGTTTTATATGACTTTTAGAACTCGCATTAATTATATATGTGTCAATAATTATATTAAAAAAGCTAAAAATTTTTATTTTAAGAAAAGTCCGTTTTTAAATCGATAAATGCAATCTCTTATTAATTGTTATTTATGTTATAACAGTATATAATGAGTTAGACATACATGAGTTAGACAGGCAAAGTAACGACATTGATAATATTTTATAAAATAATTTCTGGAAGCTAGAAATCTTTTCTATATTTTAGATTACATTTTCTTAACTCAATTCAAGGAGATTAATATTTTTAAAATTATTATTCTCTCAAGAAGTTTTTGTTGTATTTTTCAAACACGCTGAAGTTTTCTGCCGCGCAATTGTCTCCACAATCATTAATGCGAGGCCGACAAACAGCGAACACAATCATTACGTACGTGTGATGCATCATGTTAAGATTGTGCGCTGACAATTAAATATCACGAGCGATAACCGTATAGAATGTAGTTTTGCTTCTTTAATGTAAAACGCGCAGTTTTTAAGTAATAATAATATATATAATTATACATGTATAAATTTTTTTTACGTGCTTGCGTAGCATGGAATCAGTACAAGATTATAAAGATAATTTTTGAGTAAAATGTTTGCAAAAATGTTCCTAAATGTTTTTAAATGGTTTTAAAGTTTCGTTGAGTTAATTGTGCAACATTTTGCGCATTATTTTATTTTAAGCAGGTGGAAGTAATTGATCGGTATTAATTTGTTGTTAGAAGATTAAATAAACATTTGTATTGTTATTCAGTTATGAATACATCAGTGAAGCCAGTGCTTTAAATGGCATACCTAAATGCAGCATATTTTGCATTATCTGCTCTACAATAAAAAACCTAATAATTTATTGTTCTTAACAGATTTATCAATTTTACAGTTATATTGGAATACATTAATAAGCAATTTTTCAGAAAAATAATTCTGTATTAATATAATAATTATATTTGTAATAATTATACTTGAAGGATTACATTTAAGTACCGTCTCCCATAATGTATATACATATATTGGAATATGGTATTAGAATAGGTATATTACCGGATACCCTACTTTATACTAAAAAAACTTCGGATAATATTTTTAGTCCCGCAAAAAAAAAATCAAATCAATCTTTTGTATGTATGCGTATGTGCGTAATATGCAATTATTATAAATATAAATAAAACAATACCACTACAAAAGAATACCTTATCTTTAAGACTTATTTTTTAAATAATTTTTTTCGTATTATATATATCAGAAGTATTTTCTATATAAATATATATATGCATTTAGACTAATATAAATCTATGTATATTAAAACTGAACAATTTTCTAATGCTGCAGAAATTAAATCCCATCTTTTTGTGGTATTGCTAATATACAATACATGTATTTTAAAGTACCGTTATAATACCTTACATAACGTGCACTTATTTTCTGCAATAACTCTTTTTATATCATATACATCGAAATAATTTGTCTAATGTACACGTATATAAACCGATGTAAAGCTATGTATATTAAAAAATTTATACAATTTTTTGGTCCCGCTAAAATACTATTCCCAAATATACAGGGTTTGTCAAAAGTATGGAAACCCCTAAATAACTTTTGTAAAAATGAAAATATCAAAAAACGGTAAAACACGTATTTTGATTTATCAAAAAAGCTACCCTATGACATGGATACCGATCATCCCCCACCCCCTGGTACGCGGGGGTAAGAGGGGGGTTGAAAATTTTAAATTGGAATATGTATATATATGTTCCATCGCGTATCTCCGCAGCTCACAGTCTCGACGCGCAGCGTCGTATAAACGTTCTTATTTACGCATAAGGCAGTGTGATATTGATATAAGGTTAATAATAATAGTAAGGATACGAATGTTATTCAAAATTGTAGTAGCATGGATAAATAATGTCATATTTTGCATTATCTGCTCTACAATAAAAAACCTAATAATTTATTGTTCTTAACAGATTTATCAATTTTACAGTTATATTGGAATACATTAATAAGCAATTTTTCAGAAAAATAATTCTGTATTAATATAATAATTATATTTGTAATAATTATACTTGAAGGATTACATTTAAGTACCGTCTCCCATAATGTATATACATATATTGGAATATGGTATTAGAATAGGTATATTACCGGATACCCTACTTTATACTAAAAAAACTTCGGATAATATTTTTAGTCCCGCAAAAAAAAAATCAAATCAATCTTTTGTATGTATGCGTATGTGCGTAATATGCAATTATTATAAATATAAATAAAACAATACCACTACAAAAGAATACCTTATCTTTAAGACTTATTTTTTAAATAATTTTTTTCGTATTATATATATCAGAAGTATTTTCTATATAAATATATATATGCATTTAGACTAATATAAATCTATGTATATTAAAACTGAACAATTTTCTAATGCTGCAAAAATTAAATCCCATCTTTTTGTGGTACTGCTAATATACAATACATGTATATTAAGGTACCGTTATAATACTTTACATAATATGCACTTATTTTCTGCAATAACTCTTTTTATATCATATACATCGACATAATTTGTCTAATGTACACGTATATAAACTGATGTAAAACTATGTATACTAAAAAATGTATACCATTTGAATTAATAGAAAAAATATAGTAATTATAATCAATTATAATTAACAAGTAGCATTTAGTCTCGTTCAAGCTGTACTTTGCATACGCGTCGTAACGCGGAAGCAATAAGCGATATTTCGTGATATTTATTTCACGATATAAAACGCACGATGATAGCGAACTAGAGATAAAACAAGCAAGCGGAGAATCAAAATATTTTCGATCACATGCTTATTTTTGTACAGGGTGACCAATAGAATTGTGCCAAAAGTAAACGGTTATATCTCTTTTCCTCGATTTCGGCGGTCATTTAACTGACTAGGTTCCGGTAGTAGAGGCCTGTCAATTTCATTTGAGCCACTGTTCAAGCTGATATGCGAGTATCAGAATGAACGCACTAAGCATCGAAGAAAAGATCTTTCTTATCGAGTACTTCTACAGTAAAGGTAAAAACTATGCTGAAACATATCGTGGATTCCGCAGTAAATATGGATCTAAAAAAGTTTCGAGCCAAACTATACTCAGAAGGTGTGTTTCCTCTCTGAAATCGCGCCATAACCTAATCCTACACATTATGTTGGTGATCTGAGATTTTATTCATTTTTCGATATTTTTTCGCAGCATTATTGATAATTTTATTATTCATGGCACTTTGAATGATCGTAGACATGATTTACCCGGCCCATCTCGTACTGTTACAACAGAAGAAAAAATTGATGAAGTTAGAGAATATTTTGAAGTAAATCCAAATTCCTCGATTCGGAAAGCTGCTCAAGTCATGAATTTGAAGCGAGAAACTCTCTGAAAGATTGTGAAAGACATCATCAAACTGCATCCATACAAAATCACTGCACATCAGTTACTGACAAAAAATGCGATGGAAAAACGAGTTGAGTTTAAAATGCACTCGCAGTATTTCCAAAGCCACGTTGAACGACGTATTTGAAAGTTTCCGAAAACGGTTAAAATTCTGTGCCGATTCCGATGGAGCACATTTTGATAATATATATCATTAACTCATGCGCGCAAGCTAATTTTTGTCACTATTTTAATAATGTGTTTTTAAATTATTAAAATATTATATATTTGTTTTATACCTATGATAATAAAATTTGACAAGTCTCCTCTACAAGATAGTATTTCATTCATTTTGCTCGGCCTACTCGCAGTAATAACCATTTAGTTTTGACACAATCCTATTGATCACCCGTTATTATAAAGCAAAAATTTTGGTACTACAAACAACTACAAACGATTTCAGATGGAAATCACATCAGTTACTGACAAAAAATGCGATGGAAAAACGAGTTGAGTTTAAAATGCACTCGCAGTATTTCCAAAGCCACGTTGAACGACGTATTTGAAAGTTTCCGAAAACGGTATAAGCAACGAGCGACGATTAAATTAGAAGAAAAAGTTACTCAGAATTATGTCCTTGACAACATATATCAAGGTCATTGAAATCGGTGAGGTCGCCCTTAATCTTAAGTTTTACCATAATTTATAATTTGTTTATTTTTCAACTACAAACAAAAATTCTTGTACTACAAACAACTACAAACAATTTGTGACAGAAATTTGATGCCATTTGAGCTCTAATTATAAATTAATTCCTAACTGTCATTTAAAAATCGATATCATACTTATTTTTCAACTACAAACAAAATAATGATTACTACAATCATCTACAGGCAAAATTCTACGAGAAACGAACTTCAAAATCTGATTTAATTAAAGTCGGGTGCCAACTTTACGCAAGTCATCAGAGGCTCGAAGAATCGTCTGCTGGAAGGTGAGGGGAGCCGAGCTTGAGCTCGTGACCCGCGGGCCGCTGATTAGACAGGCCTTTAGAACATATACATATAAATAAAAGGCTTTGTTTCCCGATAGAAAAATATGTGACTGCTCAAAAGTGCGCATTCACGGCTTACCGGTTTGGTCCAATAAAAAATAAGGTTACATTAGTCACATGTGTGTGTACACAAAAGTATGTATATCTACAGACACGATGCTTGTATGTGTTACTCACAAGAGAGAGACAACTACGATTTTTTTTCTCACTTCCTTCGACACTTTTTAGCTTGCTATTCCCCTTCCATTTATATATGTTCTAAGAGTAGGCCTGATATAAGGAGTAATTCAACACTCTATTGGGCAGTTACTGCTAGTTATTTCTCATCTATAGTGCAAAAGATATCATGAATATCAATAGTGTAAAACAATAGTAAAACAAGCTATATAAAATATACATAACATTCTTTCGAATTGACATATTCTATAATTAATATCATGGCGGAAAAAACATACATTGATATTAATTCTGGCGATGAAATCGTTATTTCCGGTATCGCTGGAAGATTTCCAGATTCAAATAATATGAATCAGTTAGGAGAAAATCTATTCAACAAGGTTGATCTTGTTAGAGCAGATCATCGTCGATGGGACATAGGTGATTACAATTTATGTATATTGATTTTATCCTTTTATTTATGATTTCTCTTCTTTGATAATTATACATTAGAAAAATATATATTTTTAACCAAAATGTTTTACATAAAAAATATACTAAGAACACAATACAAGTATTACAATTTTTACGAAATTTCGTTAGAGCATCCGGATTTACCAGAACGCATGGGGACAGTTAACAATGTAGAAAAATTCGATGCTGATTTCTTCAACATATCTATCGAGCAAGCCCACGCGCTCGATCCTATGGCAAGATTATTATTGGAACATGCTTATGAAGCAATTGTCGACGCGGGGATCAATCCAATGCAATTGCGAGGAAAAAAGACTGCCGTGATCGTAGGGATGACTCTTCTCGAGTCGCAGGAGAAATTTATGTATGAGAATCTTCAGGTAGGAAAAATTATTTATTGATAAAAATATAGGAATAGAGTTGAGATATAAAAAAAATATTGAGAATTTATTATTGTCACACATGTGAAAAATTGTGATTGCTTACATCCTATAATTAGATAGACGGCTTGGGTATCATTGGATGCAGCAAATCTACAGTGGCAAATATCCTTTCGAACTGTTTGGACTTAAAAGGACCGTCCTACACAGTTGATACAGCATGCAGTTCTAGTCTTCATGCCATAGCTCTTGGTTATCGCGAGATCATATCGGGCCGATTCGAGGACGCAATAATTGGGACCGCACATTTATGTTTACATCCAGTTATAAATCTGAATTTCTCTCATCTTGGTATTAAATTAATTAAAATCCCGTGTAATATAAATTAATTTTTGATATACTATTGAAAGATATGTACATGCCATACATAATTTTAGGTATTTTGTCATCCGATGGTACTTGTAGACCTTTTGATACTGATGGTAGCGGTTATTCGCGTAGCGAAACCGTATCGGTGATATATCTTCAAAAGGCAAAAAATGCTAAAAGAATTTATGCTACGTGTAAGCATATTAAAATAAACAATGACGGTTATAAAGAAGAGGGAATAACGTTCCCGTCGACGCATATGCAGAGCATTTTGATGACGGAGCTTTATAAAGAATGCGGAATATCGCCGCTTTTCTTGGATTACATGGAAGCACACGGTACTGGTACTAAAGTTGGTGATCTTGAAGAAGTCAATGCTATACATAATGTTTTGTGTAAAGATCCCACTGATGATCGGCTCCGTAAAATCTAATCTTGGTCACGCTGAACCTGCCAGTGGTTTTACTCAAATAGCTAAGGTAAAACAAGTTACTCGCACCCACTATAATGTTTTTTGATGATGAAAATAGTAATATTTACGCTAGATTCCGCTTATATGACAAGAGAATTTTACTTCTTATATAAAAATGCTTCAGTAAATGTATAAGATCTTGAATAAAAATAGGCATTTTTATTGATATTTTGCTTTATTTTATAAATTCGTATTTTTTAAAATATGGATTTTAAAAGAAAATTTATAATATCAATATAATATCAATGCATAGTTTCGTTCAGGAACTGGTCTACGTCTACTTTACAATCCGCCTGTCTCGTGCGAGCGTGAGACTAAAACTGAGAACTTCAAAGACTATTGTCTATTATCTATTATCATATCTGTCTGGCAGCCGATTTATCTGTATAAACTAAAACTTTTATATTTTTATCTTTTTAAAATTAAGTTTTTGATAAATTAATGAGACTTTTGCGCTAGTTAAAATGAAATTTAACACGATATTATTTGAATAATTTTTAGTTAAATACATAGAAAAATATATATATTGTTGTATACATGTATATTTATTTTATATGTCTCAGATCTATCGCACCGCCTGTTAATAACAGATTCTTGATATCAATTGAAGATGATTTTTCGTTAGCAAAAATGTCGAGGCATTAATAATTTCTGTGTTATAAGTGGTTCAAAAACAAAGGCTTTTTGCAAACTAAACTTTATAGAGAGTTAAAACAACATTCTCTAATTAATTTCAGATGAGATTTACTTTAATAGAGAGAGAGAGAGAGAATTTTAATAACTGATCTCTCTACATATTATCGCTGAGGAAAAATCGTTTCCAAATAATCTCAAGAATCTGCCATTAGCAGATGGTGCGGTAGGTCTGGGACATCCTGTTTACATATGCGTGCGTGCGTGCGTGTGTACAGAAAAGAGTATTTCGAATAAAATCAAACAAACATAAAGTGATAATGCATATACAAGGTGATCCGCAATGACCGCCCACTAAGTACATAGCGTTATTTCTTACCAAAAATTGAGACGGAAAGTCCTGAGCCATTTTTTTTTATAACGCTTAATAAAGGAGTTATTATTGAGTAAAGTCTGACCAATCAGCGCTGACCTTTAGCCGGGCGCGCGTCAGTGAACCACGCGCCCTGAAGTGTGTGCCACCGCACACTACTAGGCACGCGGCTCACCGACGTGCGTCCGGCTTAAGGTCGGCGCTGATTGGCCAGACTTTACTCAATAATAACTCCTTTATCAAGCGTTATAAAAAAAAAATGGCTCAGGACTTTTCGTCTCAGTTTTTGGTAAGGAATAACGTTGTGTACTTAGTGGGCGGTCATTGCGGGTCACCCTGTATATTTCTATTGTTTATAATTCAGAAACAATCGATACATCATTGATGACATCGTTAACTTTTCGAAATATATTTAGTTATATAAATCAAATTAATACAAATAAATTTATGTATTTATTAATCAATGCATTAATTAATTCATATTTATGTTTTACTGATTTTTTTAAGGTAATACTAGCATTTGAAACTGGTTTTGTTCCACCAAACATCAATTATACATCACCACGAGATGATATAGACGCCTTTGCAAATGGAACCATTCGCGTGCTTACAAAACCATTAGCACTTAAGAATGGTTACATAAGCATTAATTCTTTCGGTTTCGGGGGATGCAATGCTCATATATTATTAAAATGGAATATCAAACAGAAGGTTAACAATAGTGCACCGAGCGACGAGTTGCCAAGACTTGTGGCATTGTCTGGACGCACTAGAGAATCAGTGAATTCGTTTTTAAACGACGTCAGTGTAGATATTTCGAGAGCGATATTATTTCTAATAATTAGAACGTATTATATTTGTCACAGCCATTTAAAAAAAATTATGTTTGCAGGTCGCTAAGCATCCAACAGATGCAGAATATATCCGTTTACTGCACGATATCCACGCGGATAATATAGAGGGTCATTTATGGAGAGGATATGTCATACTGGACACTTCGCAGGAAAATTTGGTAAAGGAGATCCAGATTTATGACAATGTAAAAAGGCCTATTTGCTTCATATTCTCTGCCTTAGGCTCGCAATGGCCAAGGATAGGTATATTTATTCAATACTTTATATTTTACTGACATAAGATAATACATTTAAATAATAAAATAATATAA